TGGTCTTTGTATTTTGTATTTTTATTTTGCTTTTATTTATTTATTTATAATTTTTTTCAAAACCATGTTTGTGAAGCAATTTTGATAAAGTAAAAATTGTAAAGAAATATTGATGGAGAGTAAGATTAGAAAAAAAGATAAATATAGTTATAATCATAAATTCATATGTTTTATTATCCAACGCAAATCAAATAATGAACAAGTGGATAATTTATCTCACTAATCCAATTGGATAGTAAATACCACATTATCATGGGATTATTAATACCTTCACTATTAGTCTCATGAATCAAACATGGCCTTAAGAGTTTGTTTAAAATGTTACGTTTATTAATTTCAACATTATAAAAAAAAAATTACATTTTTCCCTCAATATAAAACACGCGTGTTTATACTTGACCTTTTATGTAATTCATACTAGAATGAGACATTTGGATCCCAAAAAAAAAATGATCGAACAATTCATAAGATTACTATGTCATATTTATTGGTGCTTCACCGATATAATTTAAGAAAATAATAAAAATAAATGATATAATGTTAAGTGTTTAGTGATATAAACGGTTAAAAATAAATAAAGGAAAATTTACCTATAAATCTCATATTTAGCAATGGTGATCCATTTAGTCCTAAGAGTTTTCTTATAGACCAATTAGTCCAATTAATTTTGGAAAAGGAGATTTAATATATTATTTGAAAATTAGATTTACGGTTATACTTTTATTTCTATTATGTTTTCTTCTTCTTTTTTCTCATGTATGCTAAAAATGTAAGATACACAATCTATGAGAATCAAATTTGGAATTAATTTTTATATGAGAATCTTTTTTATTTGGAATGACTTGAAATGTGAAATTTTTCAAACATTTCAAAAGTACTACAAATGATTTGAAATATGGGATTTTTCAAATATTTCAAAAAGAATACAAAAACTCATTAGTAAGCTTTGAGCAAACGTATAATTTAAACCGTAGCACGCCAATGTAACACTCAAACGTAACATTCCAATGTAAGACTCCAAAAAAAACTTCTTAATATATTTTTCCTAACATAACACTCAAATGAAACAATACAAAAAAAAAAAAAAAAAAAAAAAAAAAAAAAAAAAAAACTCCTTAGTATACTTTTTTTCAAACGTAACATTGAAATGTAAGATTTCAAAAAAAACTCGTTAGTATACTTTTTTTTTCCCAAACATAACACTCAAATGTAACACTCCAAAAAAAATACCTTGGTATAACACTCTAATGTAAGATTTCAAAAAAAATCCTTAGTATACTTTTCTCAAATCTAACACTGCAAAAACAAAAACAAAAAAAAAAAAGCTTAGTTTAATACTCCAACATAATACTCAAAAAAATTTCTTAGTGTACTTTTCCAATCGTAACACTCCAAAAAAAAATGTGGATTCTTTGAACCGTTCAAAGAGGAGTACAAAAATTTTGTAGTAAGTTTTGGACAAATATATAATTTCAAACTGTGAGTGTTATGTTTGTAAAAGGTACACTAAGAAGTTTTTTAGTATTTTTGTATGTTACATTGGAGTGTTATGTTTGGCCTTACATTGATTGGAGTATTACATTTTATAAAAGTACACTAAGAAATTTTTTTTTGTGTGTTATATTAGAGTATTACATTTGGGATTATATTGATTGGAGTGTTAAGTTTGAGAAAAATATACTAATAAGTTTTTTTTTTTTTTTGCGTTATATTAGAGTATTACGTTTGGAATTACATTAATTGGAGTATTACATTTGGGAAAAGAACACTAAGGAGTTTTTTTGTGATTGGAGTGTTATGTTTTTATGTTTGGAAAAAATATACTAAGAAATTTTTTAGTATGTTATATTTGAGTGTTACGTTATTGGAGTTTTACATGAGAGTGTTACATTCTTCTTCGTAATATGGGATTTATTTCACAAAAAGAAAAAATCCAAAACCTTTATAGTGCAGATTGTCTAAATGTGTAATTTCACATTTGGAGAAACTCACTTTTATCTCTAAAAAATTAAACTTAAACATATAAGTGATTATCTTTTTATGTAATTTCCACTTTAATAAAAATTTTGATCCATAAGAAGAAAAAAAAAAGACTAATAATTCACAAAATCATATTAGGAAATTTATTAATATTTTACTCATTATAAATAAATGATATATAACGGTCTTTTGTTACGGGCATATTTCACGGCGCAACAAAAACCGAAATTGAAGAGCTTACCTTGCATGGTGCACCATTCTGGGCAACAAATCAAACAAACCACCAGCCACAACTTCAGCGACAATCAAAACCTCCTTTCTTCACAACAACTCCATTGGCCCTGTTTGGTGGAGGTTATTGTCAATTAAAATTGATAATCAAATAAAAAAAAGTTAAAATCACTTTTATCCCAATTTTTAGATATGTTTTTTAATTTATTTAAATTATTTTTATTTAATAAATTATAAGAACATCTTTAATCCAACACTCTCGATTAGAGTGTTCAAAATAATCAATACCCAATAAAAAATAAAATAAAAAGCAATATTATTGTAATTTCACCAAAATAAATTGAAAATAACAACAAAAAGTGAATTGCTCAAAAAAGTGAGAATCTGTATGTATGTGCATATTATTATTTAAATAAAGATGTTCTTATAAAGATGTTCACGTAAAATCCAATCACAATCATCATTTTATTCTTTAAAGATTTTTCTCCAAAATATTTTGATTAAAAAATGAATAATTTTTGTTCATTATGTTTGGTTTGAGTTTTCTTGATTTTGAAAATTGACTTTTTTGATTTTTATGTTTTTTTGTTTTTAGTGAATATTTTTTAAATTTTAAACATTTTCTTACTTTTTTAGATGCACCTTACTTAGATGTATCTAAAAAGTAAAAAATTTGTGAAAAATATTTTAAAAAATTAATAAATACATAAAAATACAAAAAATGTACTGAATTCTTATAATTTTTTTGTATTTTTGGTATTTAATGAATTTTTAAAAGATTTTTTTTATAATTTTTTTACTTTTTAGGTGTATTTATGTTAAGTGTATCTAAAAAGTAAAAAAATTACTTAAAATATTAAAAAAATTCAGTAAAAACAAAAAAATACGGAAAATAAGAAAGTAGAATTTTCTGAAAAGTGTTTTGGAAAACTGGAAACCAAGCAAGGTGTTTATTTTTTATTTTTTATTTTTTGTTAAATATATTTAGTATTATTATCATTTTAATGGTCTGATTTCACTCCTTTTAATAATATTAATTTTATAAAAATAAATTTACATATTAAAAGCTATATAATATAATCAAAAATATAAAATTATTCATTTTGCTTGGTTTGGGTTTTCTAAAAACACTTTTTTCAAAATTTTACTTTCTTATTTTTCATATTTTTTAATATTTTAAGTAATTTTTTTTATTTTTTAGACACACTTAATATAAATACACTAAAAAAGTATAATTTTATGAAAAAAATCTTTAAAAAAATCACTAAATACCAAAAATATTAAAAAATATATGAAAATTCAATATATTTTTCACATTTTTGTGTATTTATTAATTTTTTAAAATATTTTTTTACAAATATTTTATTTTTTAGATATATCTAAGTAAAGATGCATCTAAAAAAATTAAAAAAAAAATACTTGAAATTTTAAAAGTATTCACTTAAAAAAAACACAATAAAAAACTCAATTTTTCAAAAACTTAATTCAAACCAAATACATTGAATAGTGTGGTGAAGATCCTCTTTCTATTTTTCATACTCCCTCTCTATACTTGGATTGAAGACAAAGGCTCCCTTTGATTTAATTTTTAAAATGAATTTTGAGTTTTGAATTATATTTTGAAGGATAAGTTTTTTAAATGAGTTTTGAAAGAGAAAACTTGTTTATTATGAGTTTTGAAACTAGATAAGTTTTTTAAATGAGTTTTGAAAGAGAAAACTTGTTTATTATGAGTTTTGAAACTAATTTTTGAGTTGTATATATTTTAAAAGTTTATTTTATTATGAGTATTAAAAATAGTTGTAGAATAATTTATTTTTGTGAAACTTTTTTTATTTTATTTTTGTAAACAATTTATTTATTTATTTTTATTTTTTAAATTATTTAAACAAATTTTGACAATAGTTGTTTTTAAAAACATTTAACTATTTTTTTGACTTTTTAAAAAAAATTAAATATTTAAAAATTTTGAATTTTTTATTTTAATTATTATTTTATTATTTTAAATTTTAAATTTTAAAAACTTTTAAATCGTGTCTAAATCATAATAAATTATTTACCTAGTTGTAAAGAGTTTTTTGAAAACTCATTTGGCCATGAATTTTTTTAAACAAGTTTTTGAAAAAAAAATTAAAATTTTAGTGTGGTTACAAAATTTTGAAAAATAAGAATTAAAAGTATTTTATCTAAATCGTGATTTTAAAACAAAACTAAGTGCAAACAAAATTTCTTCAAATGTGAATATAAGAGGATATAGGATAAAGATGGTTCTATTAAATCAAAACTACCCCAAACAATCAAATTACATATTCTAAATTAAAATAAACTATAATCTCATCTCTTTTTAAAGTGTAAAAACACACCCCATTGCATGGCGCACCAAAAAATATAAAAAAAGAAGCAAAATAAGGCATGAAATAAACATGACACCAAACATAAACCCCAATATGAATGAATCCTCTGAGAGAGACAGAGAGCAAATATGCATGACATTAAAGAACTTGAAAGCAACACAACCACAAAACTTACAAACTACTATAGTTTGAATATAATATATAATATATTATATATGCCAACAAGAGCTGTGTACAATGCATGAAACTTCCATGTCTGCAAGAAACCCAAGCCAAACCCAAAACAAATCCACATTACGAAATCAACACAACTTTCCTAGTTCTGGGTCAAATGAATGAATCCTCTGAGAGAGATAGAGAGCAAATATGCATGACATTAAAGAACTTGAAAGCAACACAACCACAAACTTACAAACTACTATAGTTTGAATATATAATATATTATATATGCCAACAAGAGCTGTGTACAATGCATGAAACTTCCATGTCTGCAAGAAACCCAAGCCAAACCCAAAACAAATCCCCATTACGAAATCAACACAACTTTCCTAGTTCTGGGTCAAATACTAATAATATACTAACACTCATACTAATAATAATACCATATAACTACTAAAACCTAAAGACCATTTAACTACTAAGACCTAAGAGCAAACTAAGCAGAGACACCATTTCCAGAAGCTCATTACTTGATTGATTAACAAACCATTTGATCTCTCTCCCATATAAGAAGTTTCAAAATCATGGATGAGAATCAAACTAGCATAACACCAAACCGATCAAGAAAGCCTAGCAACAGCTTTGCACACCAATGGATTTTTCATTTCCATGGACAGCTTTAGAACCTCAGACAAGTCCACACCACCACCATCATCACAAGAAGCCACCCACTTGAAGCTTTGAAGCATTTGGGCTAACCAGAGCTGAACCGTAGCGTAACCCATGGCTTTACCAGGGCAGACTCGCCTCCCAGACCCAAAAGGAGCCAACCTGAGGTCCGACCCCATAATGGACACATCATCAGCCAAAAACCTCTCCGGTTTGAATTCATTGGGCTCGGGCCAGACCCGCTCGTCGTGGGTTATGGCCCACATGTTCACCATGGCAGTTGTGCCGGCAGGTATGAAGTGGTCGCCGACGCGTGTGTCATGGATGGCAAGGCGGGCCCAGGAGAGTAGGGGCCCCGGAGGGTGGATTCGGAGGGTTTCTTTGATAATGGCTTCGAGGTAAGGGAGGTTGGGGAGGTCCGAATGGGACACCGGTCGGGATGCTCCGACGACGTTGTCGATTTCGGATTGGGCCTTGGATTGGATATCTGGGTGTAGAACCATTCTTGCAAGAATCCATTCTAGGAGGATTGCCACTGTATCTGTCCCCCTAAAGATCATTTCCTGTAAGAGAAAAAAGAACTTTCTCAGAACAAAAATACAAACACATCAAATAAATGGTGATTACGCATACTACAAATGAGGAGACAATAACGTAAAATAGGATAAAGTGAGGGTTTGGCTTAGTTTGAACAAGTTGTTTATGTTTTATTTTTAAAACAAAAAACAATTAATTAAAAGAAATTTGACAAAAATAAACCATGAGAAATTTTTGTTTCTTGTTTTTACTGATGAACTAGTTTTGTACAATTTGCTTTTCTGAAAAACTTTTCTAGATTTTTCTTCCCAAAAGATAAAAACTAGTTTGATAAAAATAAACATTAAAAATATACTATAATTTTTTTAAAATTATTTCTGCCTCCCAAAAAAATGATCAATATTTTTTATTTTTTTCATCAAATTATGTTGTAAATTTTCAGAAAAAAATAATTCTGAAAAGATTACTGAAAACCAAACCAGACAGAGCCATAAAACTTGTTTCAGAAAACAGATTTCTAAAATCTTTTTTTTGAAGCACAACCCACTAATAGATACCTCTAGCCTTTTCAACTAAAATGGAGAAAATAGAACAAAACAAAACAAGATAACAAAAACACAAATTCTATATCAACAGGTGAAAGAAGCGAAAAATTTTATTCTGATTCTTCATATCTTCAAAGGTCCCAAAAAGAGCATAAAACAGATCCCTTACTTCAACCATGCATTTACACAAACAGCATACAATAATAAAAACTACTCTAAAAAACAAAAATAAGATCAAAATAACAAATATTCAAAATAAGATCAAAATAACAAATATTCAAAAAACAAATGCTATGAGATTGTTTATTAGTAAAGAGTGTTTGAGAAAAATACCCAGAGAACAGCAATCATATCAGAGTCACTGAGCTTGTTATCTTTCTCCAAACCAAGCAAAACATCAACAAAGTCATCATCGTCACCACCACCCACAACACCTCCATTTTTAGCCCTCTTGAATCTGTGTTCTTCAATGATCTTCCCAACAAACACATTCACTCTAGAAACAAGCTCTCTACATCTCTTCCTCACACCTTGCAAATCCAACAAACCCAGAAGAGGAAAATGATCACTCCAGTTGAATATCCCAAGCAACTCATACCCTTCACTCACCAAACCCTCAAGTTCAGACCCATCACATCCATTGAAATCATAGGACCTCCCAAACACACTCATCATCACATTGTTCAGAGACCCAAAATGCAAAACTCTCTTGATTTCAACCACTCCGTTTTTCTCCATCAAACCCTTAACTTGATTCACCATTTCGATCCCCATTTTTTGCCGAAAATCGCCGAAACAAGTGATTCTCTTCGGGCTGAACAAATGGGTCGACGAGATTCTCCTCAGGTTCCTCCAGTACTCACCGTAAGGAGCGAAACCCATTGCTCGGTGGAAGAGAAGCTCGTAAGCCGACTCTTTCACAGGCCGATCTGCGAAAGCCGAGCTGCTTAGAATGTCCTTGGCTGTGTCTGGGTGGCTTGAGATGATGAAACGAGTGAACCCAATCGAAAAAGCCATCAACGGTACGGCTTCGAAGGTCTTAGCGAGATTTGCGAGGACTCTGTGAGTCAAAGAGCCAGCGAAAGCGAAGACGAGTCCGATAATGGGTAGACCAGAGGGTCCAGGAATGGCAGACCTTGATTGAACCCCGGCTCGCGCCTTTGAGAGAGCCCAGGCGAGGCCGCCTGGTGCGAGACAGAAGCCAAACACAGCAGCAATGAGGAAGATGCAGAGAATGAGCTCCAGGCTGGGAAGAAAACTGGAGAACCCACTTCCAGGAATGCAGAGAGAGTAGTATTCGGAGGACATGTTTGGTTGTTTTTTAGAGAGAGAGAGATTGGGAGGTTTTGAGAGATAGGAGGTTCTGGTTAGAAGCTGGTTCGAAATGGATGGAATACGGAGAGTGAGAGAGAGAAAGAGGTAGGGGTAGTGGTAGTGAAGAGAGAAAGAGCGTGAGTGGTTAATAAATAGTTGAGAAGTGGGGTGTCGACACGTTTGTGCTATGTTGGGAGGATAGTTATTCAGTACTCCTGGAATATAAATACGTGGCGCTGTATAAGATTTTAATTGGTGAAGAAATATAAAGGTCTGCGATTTATGTTGAGAATAGAAGAACAGTAATGCTAGGCATCATGAAAAACTTTTCATGAAAATAATCATGAAAGTTTTGTGACCATTGGATTACACTTAGAATAAAGCATCACACACTAATCAAGGTAATCCAAGGATCATAAATATTTCATGATCATTTTCATGAAAAAATTTTCATGATCCCTAACTTTTCTCATAGAAGAATAATATGATACTAATTAATTGGTGATTGATTTGAAGTATGAATACGTGATATTCTGGAAATATTAAATAATTTCCCATGTTTGGATTGATTGATTTGAAAAAAAAATAAAAAATAATGGAGAATTTCACTTACTTGTTTGGATAATTTAAGTAGAGAGAAATGAAAAGAAATAAAGAGAAGCGGAGAAAAACTTATTTATCTTATAATTCTAATTTTTAATCTTTTCAAAAATAAAGAGATTGAAAGAGAAAATAAATCAACATTTTTATAATGTTAATTTTGTCTATGTAAAAATAAAAGAAATAAAATAATTGAAAATATAAAAATGTTATTTAGGTAATATAACATAATCAGTTCAAAAAAAAAAGATAATATAACATAAAAAAAAAAAAATTTCTTTTCTCTTATAAAATCTAACCAAATAAGAATGTGAGAAATGATAATTATTTCTTTTTTTTATTTGTTATTTATCCAAATAAGAAGAAGAGAAATCACAAATATTTCTTTTCTTTTATTTTCTATTATAATTTAAGTAATTCTTTCTTTTCTTTTTTTTCTCATAGGTTCCAAAGCATAGTGTTAGGACTCGTTTGTTGGGGCAATATTTTTAAATTTGAGAATTTATTTTTAAAATTCATACTTATTTTAATTTGAGAGTAATTTGAAGAGTTCGTAAGACTATCATGGATGTATTTTGATAATTTAAATTATTAATTTTATAAGATTTTTAATGTATATATTTAAAAAAATAGATTAATTTAATAATTATAATATTTTTATTTTATCATGTCTATCTCTAAAAAAAATGACAATAAATCCATTTTTTTAGACAAAATGATAAAATAATAATAATACAATTATCGGATCAACTCAATTTTTTTTCATGGATTATATAGGGTGCACTATCTAATAAGTAGTTCAGATCATCAAAACGGGGCTAATAGTATAACTCCACAAACTTTTCAAATTATCTCCAGTTGAAATGTGAACTTAAAAAAAATTCAACTCCATTTTAAAAAAGAAATGACAATGGCATTACATAATATTAGCATATCAGTCGTGCTACGTACAGAATAAAATAATATATTATTTATGAAAAATACTATAATTATATTTAATTTTTTTATATTTTGTCTCTCGTTAATAAAATTTTATATATATGTTTAAGAGTTTTATTTAAAATGTTCTTTTATTACAATATATAGTATACATAAATTAAATTTATTGTATTGACAATTAATAATCAAAATTATGCTTTGTTATAAAAAAAATGACATAGTTTTAATACTTCATTGTTTTAGAATAAAAATATATTAATTTTTAAAAGGAAAATAATTTAAAAAATTAAAAACTTAATGAGTTAAAAAGAATTACCGTGACACGTAATTTAAAATATTTAAAAAAAGTAAAAAAATGAATTGGGACTTTGGATATTAAACGCCTCACATTTTTTTAAACATTTTTGAAGTTATGATTACAATTAAAACTAATGTCATATTTATTAATAAGTATAATTTTATATAGATATCTATATATACTTTAACATGCTTATTTAAAATAAAAATAAGAATTAAAAAATTAATAATTTCGAGTTTTAAAATATGATTTTGAAGACTTGCTATATTAACTTTGGAAGGAATATACTGGAATTTTTTTATAAAAATTGAATACTATTCATTAAACAAATCTTATAAGATTTAAAATAAAATTCATAATAGGAAGAAATTATTGATATTGCAACATATGCATTTTACCAATTTTAAATTTTGAAACAAAATAGATTAGGATTTTCAATTTCAATTATCTTACAACTTTTTTATTTATATAATAATATAAATAAGGATAGGTAAAGGTAATAGATAGATTAAAATTAATTATAAATATAGTTATATTTAAAAGGACATGGTTTTGTATAGCTATATTTTTAATTCCAAATTTTATTTTTTAACTTCCTATATAAAAAGATTCAAGATTTTAAATTACATGTGATTTTTTTTTTTTCTAAAAACATATGAACTCACAATGCAGTAGAGAAATAAGTACCCTAAAGAAAGAGAGAAGCTGCAAATATTAAAAATAAATAATTGACTAACACCTTTAATAATTTTGAAATATATTAAAAATAATGTTTTCTTTTTATAGCTTTGAAAAATTATTATATGCCTTTAAATAATAAGTATAATTTTATATGGATATCTATATATACTTTAACATGCTTATTTAAAATAAAAATAAGAATTAAAAAATTAATAATTTCGAGTTTTAAAATATGATTTTGAAGACTTGCTATATTAACTTTGGAAGGAATATACTGGAATTTTTTTATAAAAATTGAATACTATTCATTAAACAAATCTTATAAGATTTAAAATAAAATTCATAATAGGAAGAAATTATTGATATTGCAACATATGCATTTTACCAATTTTAAATTTTGAAACAAAATAGATTAGGATTTTCAATTTCAATTATCTTACAACTTTTTTATTTATATAATAATATAAATAAGGATAGGTAAAGGTAATAGATAGATTAAAATTAATTATAAATATAGTTATATTTAAAAGGACATGGTTTTGTATAGCTATATTTTTAATTCCAAATTTTATTTTTTAACTTCCTATATAAAAAGATTCAAGATTTTAAATTACATGTGATTTTTTTTTTTTTCTAAAAACATATGAACTCACAATGCAGTAGAGAAATAAGTACCCTAAAGAAAGAGAGAAGCTGCAAATATTAAAAATAAATAATTGACTAACACCTTTAATAATTTTGAAATATATTAAAAATAATGTTTTCTTTTTATAGCTTTGAAAAATTATTATATGCCTTTAAAGTAATGCTCTGCGTCAACTGTCAATTAACACATATTGTGATATCAAAAAATATTATAAGTAAAAAAAAAATTTAAAAAGTAATGATATACAAACATAAAAATCAATACAAAAAACTTAGTAATAATGATTTTGATCTATCACTTTATAATGAGTGACACGTTATTTATTATACAAATGACTCTATCACACCATTTTAGTATAAAAATTCTAGCAAAACAATATTAACCAACAAAAAATAGTTATAAACAAAAAAATAGATAATGGTTGGTAGAGAGGATGGAGAAACACACACAAAATATGAAATACAAAAATAAAAAATGGTCATAAATAAAAAAGAATAAGAAAAACTGGTATACCTGAAGAATGAAAGAGTCTATTTAACTAATACAATAGACTAAACATAAACTAACGTCCAAATTGTTTAATAAAGAAAGTTAAAAAATAATGAGTTTCATCGTTCCATGAATGCAATATTTATAAGATGAGGAAGACATGAATGGCTTAGAAAAAGTATAATATATGATAGCTAGGGTTTTTGGGTAAGAGAAAGAATTAGTTAGAGAAAGAGTACGTAAGAATAATTTTTTTCATCTTTCCTTTTTCTAAATTATAAATTATGAAATCATTATAAGAAATAATAAATTATGAGATTTTCTTTAAAAAAATTATATATAGTATAGATATGCTTAAATTTATTTGGCAATAAAATTGTGGTTAATTATGGAATAGAAAGAGAATCTAGATATAAGGTTTAATTTTTATTTTATGTTAGGTTTAATTTTAGGTTTATATGGATCAGACCAGTTCTGAAAGATATTAATAGTATATATTTTATGGGAGGTGAGAGAATTTTCTTTTCATTATATTTATTTTAGGAAAGAGAGATTGTATGAAATTTATATTATTTTTAAATAAAAACTTGATTTATTTTGAGAGGGGGATTGAGAATTATGTGCTTTTTTCTTTTCTTCTTTCTTTTTTTTTTTTTTTAGGTATTGACCGACAATATATTTGCATTAAATAATTTTGAAGGTTTATATTTATATCCTTGGACTAGCTAATAAATGTTTTAATTTTTTTTTTTAAATCAAAAATTCAAAAAATTAGATTTAAGATTTTGAAATGCTTAGAGACTCTAAGATGAAAAGTCACTTTGGTATAATATATAGTATAGGCCCCGTTTAGTAGAGTTGTGGGGAAGTGATTATAGCTTATACCTTAACAGCTTATAACTTATAACTGTGAACATAAGCTGATTTTTGACTTATAAATTAAGCTCTCCTCCCCCACTCAAAGAATAAGTTGACTTTTGACTTACAAAAAGCTATAAGTTGTATTGTTAAACTGAACCAAACATATCAAAATAGCTTAAATTAGGCTAAAAACTGAAATAAGCTGGAAATAAGCCCTACTAAACAGGGCCATAGTTAAATTAGGCTAAAAACTGAAATAAGCTGGAAATAAGCCCTACTAAACAGGGCCATAGTATAGACAAATAGATTATGTGATTTAGGAAAGAGATAAATATTAAGGGGGAGATTTAAAAACTTGTAATTCAAATTTTTTTTTTTTTTTATTCTATTGTTACTTTGTTAGCCAATAGCATTATTTTAAAATTACAAAAATTAGCAATTTTGGGTTGTTATGTTTTTTGTTTTTTTAATCTATAGTTACTTTGTTAGGCAATAGTACTATTTTTAAAGGTTTTTAAAATTACAAAAATTAGCAATTGTGGTTTTATGTTCTTTTTAATCTATAACATTTTTTTTAAGGATTATTTACCAATAAATCCTACTTCACAAACTGTTATACCAAAT